AATAAAGGTTAAGTTCGACATTCCAACCACCTGAAGAAGGCTGGAGCGTATAACGGCCGAAACATTGTAATAAATATGGCAACAAAAATGAGAACAATAGTCCGAATAATGTAAATAATGTGCATGAGTTCTTGTAGCTTCCTTTCTGTGTCTGCTATCAACACTGTGTCATCTGCATATTTTATGTTGTTAAGATTGTGGCTGCCAATAATGAATCCTAGTAGGGCTTCTAATTCTCTCAGAATCCTCTCACTGTATAGGTTGATTAAATCCCATGTGCAACCAATTCAGTAGGAGTTCTTGTAGTTTCCTTTCTATGTCTGCTATCAACACTGTGTCATCTGCATATTTTATGCTGTTAAGATTGTGGCTGCTAATAATGCATCCAATGTTCTATATTTATTGATTGCCATCAGCGACATGCTTTGTTTTTAATCAAATTTATGAACTTTTTTTGCAATTATATTTTAGACCAGATCACTTGGAAATTAATATGTACTACCAGACGCTGGTCATGAAAGAAGTGAAAGAAGTTCCCAAGTATTCGCTGGATAAAATAATATGTAAGTTTTTCGAAAAAGTGCTCATAATTCTAATTAAACTGTTTTCTATTCAGACAGGAGTAACAAAACATATTCAATACTTACTACTGTTGCTTTTCCACCAAGTAGTAATAGTCTTAAGTTGTTTGAATTTCTTAGATGAAGCCCTGGCAATTATTATTCATTTTTGACTAGAATTTCTTTCATCTTATTTCTCTGGCGTTTCCACCAAGTAGTAATAGTCTTATGTTGTCTGAATTTCTTAGATGAAGCCTCGGCAATTATTATTCATTTTTCACGAGTATTTCTTTCAATTTATTTCTCTTGCTTTTCCACGAAAAGTAACAGTCTTAAGTTGTCTGAATTTCTTAGATGAAGCCTTGGCAATTATTATTCATTTTTGACTAGTATTTCTTTCATCTTATTTCTCTTGCTTTTCCAAGTAGTAATAGTCTTAAGTTGTCTGAGTTTCTACATATCAATATAATAATCGAAAAATACTTTAGCCCAATGTAATTCTTTTCCCTAATATTTAGTAAGTCAAACAGCTTTCTGAAGAACCTTGTCAAGTAGTGTTTCTTATTTTAGTCATATTTGTATGAATTAGAAGCAGATTTATTTGCTGACCGAAAATAAAATGAAACCTAATTTTAACATTTGACATTTACAAATTCATTTTTAATGTCAATCTTTTAGTTTGATTTTGAAAAATATATATTCCTTTTTTTTTTTATTAATCCTATAAAACCCAATATGGATGTGCGGTGGTATAATGGATGCGAAATCTTAGACTCGCGGTCGAATTTAAATCGCGTTTGTTACATTCAATTTCGTGCAAATACTCTTGGGAAAGGTAGGAATCCATCATTTCTCCTTCCAGCTATGGGTAAATAGTAGGGTCCTATAGCATTGGTCGGCAAACAGTCTAAGAGAAGGTAAAATCTAAAAAGCTCTGAAGAGAGTTGGGCTCCTTCAGGCAACTTTACCAAAGACTCTGAAGGATCGATTATTTTCTTTTTTTTTAAGCAATTCACCCCGAAGCAAAGCAGGAGTGCCAGTAGTACAAGGAGCTACAGGGAGTGTAAGTAAGGGAATAGAGGCAATTGAGGAAAGGATAAAAAGAGGAACAGAATGAGATATAAAGAAGAACGGGGATCAAGGCGACAGAAGATGTCGATTGGCATTACATTTAAATTTTTGAAGATTATAGTTATCAGGGAAGCTAGAGGAAGAGAGTTTCACTGTCGGGATGTGTGGGAGAAGAAGCTGTTGGAGTAGAGTGGGTCATTAAGTGAGGCTAGAGCGATAAGAAAAGTGAAGACCAGCCTCCCGCCATTCCAATTTTGCCCATGTGGCTTATTTGTACATTTTCACAATAAATATTGAGGATTTCACGATAACAGTTAAGGCTGCTTGTCGACTCTCTGCCTCTGGGCGGAAGGGAACCAAGGCGAGGCTATGCCGAAGGGCAGAGTCTCGTCTGGGACGGTAGACAGCTATCCGACCCCGTGTATACGTGGTCTTTGGGCAATTTTTGTCCGAGCCTACGGGCTCGGAACGCCGAAAATAAAAAAAAAGACCTTGTGCCACATCTCGCATCCAGCCTTGTGAGGAGGTCTCGGGTAAATACTGAGGAGTTAACGATTACTGTTAACTCTGTCGACTCTCTGCTTCCGGGCGTAGAGGAACCCAGACGTGTTAGACATTTTCATGACGGTCGTCTTCGAGTATAGAATCCAGAGGTTGGCAGTGAATATTTCGGAGACAGTAGGAAAGCGTAGTGCAGGTTCGCAGTGGATATCGCAGCAAAGTAGCAGAGCGTAGTTCTTTCGTCTGTCATGTTCGCCGGACAAGTTGCCTCTGGTCATTCCGGTAGGAAAACAAAGATGGCCGCCTTTATACACGTCGGATACAGTGTTGTGCGGCTCCTGATTGGTTAATCTTCTATTGGTAGACTATAAAGGGAAATAAGTCATTCTGACTCGCTCACTAGTTATATGTATTATATACACAAAAAACCGTAACAAGACGAGCCTATGACGATGGATAAGGTCTCGTCTGGGTAGGTAGACAGCTTCCCGACCCCGTGTATAAGGGGTCTTTGAGTAAATTTTGCTCGAGCCTAGGGGTCGGAACGCCCCACGTAAAAAACCGACCTTGTGGAGTGGTCTTGGGTAAATACCTGCTTATCGACTCTCTGCCTTCGAGGAGAGAGCAACCCAAACGAGGCTATGCCGAAGGGCAGAGTTTCGTCTGGGGCGGTAGACAGCTGCCAGACCCCGATTATGCGGGGTCTATGGGGAATTTTTGCCCGAGTGTACGCGCTCGGAAAGACACACAGGAGGTTTTGGATAAATACCGAGGTGTCAACGGTTAACTATTTATTACATTAGTCTGTTTTCTCAAGCGTGTACCATCTTATTCTACCAGAATGAACTACTTATATTTTATATGTGTGTAAACCTTTTCTATTTACGACACAACATATAGTATAATATTGATATAATGTGATATATTAAGCGGTCAATGCATGATTGAAAATATACCAAGCTAACATAAATTTTGACAGCGTTGTCAAATCTTATATAGTGTCCACTGAAAATCTTTGAAAATTGAATTGAATGAATTTAGGCAATGCTAGATACATAAATAGCACGGCTCTCTCCAAACATTTCTGGCAATTTAAAACCATACAATACACCCATAATTACGTGGGATATAATAGCTGAAACCAAATCTTACAATGGGAAAGGCGATAGATGTAATTTATGCCTTGTAGAAAAGTTATACGCTTAGGCGATTATGTATCTTTCGATACATGACTGACGACGCAGATTTTTTTCCCGCAGTAGGTTGTCATTTCTGCGGTAGACCAGTTGCCAGACAAGTCTATAGAACCAGAGGTATCCTGCTATTTGGAGAAGAAGAGAATTCATACCAAGGGAAAGTAAGTAAGTGAGTGGATTCGACTGGAATTCGAACTCGACTCACCTATTCCTCAATCTGAGCCGCTATCCATTACTCCACCGTGCTTCCTAGAAAAATTAGTTATCTTAAAATACTAAAATAACCCTAACTTATTAAACAAGAGAAATGAATTGATGGTCACAGAAATGAATTGAACGTTACATGTAGGCATAAAAAATAAATACCTGTTGAAATACGTTTGTCCAGATTAATTTCTACTGTAGATTTTAACCTTACCTTTTTTAAATTTTCTTCTGTTTTATGTCGAGCAAGTACAATTTTTTTTATATAGTTTTCCATTAGCTCTGATTAGTTTTCCTACCTATATGTATATATGACTTGATATTTTTTTAATATAGTTATAGGTACGTTTATTTTAAATAGAAATTAATAAAAAACATTAATCCCTGTTTATTTTAAATGTAAAATATATATATAAATCCCGTTTTCTTTATATGCTATTTCAAAAACAAAACAAAACAGTAATCACCGTATAATATATGGACTGTACCAACATTGCGTTAACGAGATATATTTATTAAAATTTAAATTATGTAACGATCAGTCTCATTTCAGTACCTGAAGATTACGTTGTGGATGCAACTGTGAGTCGTGCTACCAGTGAAGAAAATATATATATATATATATATATATATATATATATATATATAATTATTTATTTAAAATATGATTCCAACGGTACATAAGAGTTCTCATGTTTCAAAACAAGAGCCGAAAACTTCAATATAATTATTTGAATTAAACTGAATTAAAGTACTAAGCTCTTTTCCATCTTCAAGCGAAATTTTTTTTTGAATAATTTATTTATAAAATTTACGTGTTTTATAAGCAAAATTTTAGAAATAAGTTATTCCAAAAAAATTTCGCTTGAAGATGGAACAAGCTTAGTACTTTAATTCAATTTAATTCAAATAATTATATTGAAGTTTTTGGCTCTTGTTTTGAAACATGAGAACTCTTATGTAGCGTTGAAATCATATTTTAAATAAATACTTATATTTATGCTCTACTTTTGTATCGAGCACTATTTTTGTAAAATAATAACAAAAATACTAAAGAACTTTGGATTATTTACCTAACGAGTTCTTTCCTATTTTCTATATATTTTACACACACACACACACACACATATTATATATATATATATATATATATATATATATATATATATATATATATGTCTTGAACGATATCTATCTATCTATCTATCTTAATTATCTAACTCTTTTTAATTATCTGTCTGTCTATCCGTAATTATCTACCTCTTTTTTTATCTATCTATCTATCTATCTATCTATCTATCTATCTATCTATCTATCAGTTTGTGTCTAGCGACGAATCCTTATGTTCAATATCTTAATATTTGGAAACCTTAGATATTTGTAATTAGTTAAATGTAGGTGACACGCACACACACGAATCACATACACACACGCACATATGTGGGCGCGTGCACACATAAACACATACATGCACACATAGATAGATATGAACAGACAGAGATAGATAGATAGATAGATAGATAGATAGATAGATAGATAGATAGATTTTTCTCTCTTTTCCATACAATTGTTTCTCCCTCTCTCTTTCCGTGACAATTCTTTCACTTTTTCTCCCTCTTTCTTTTCTCGTTTACTACTGCTCTCTTTTTCCGATATTTTTTTTCTCTTTTTCTATCTCCTCCACTTTTCTGAACATTCCAGCGCAGTTTGGCGGCCAAATGGGAATCTTCCTCGGATCCAGCATCATCACAGTCTGTGAAATTTTGGAAGTCGTTTTGAAATTGACTTTACAAACTGTCCATCACGTTTGCTCAAAATGCCGATATTCACACAGAGACGTGCGGCAGTAGATTCTCAAAAGATGGACATCCCGAAAATAAGGTATTCACTTTTACTAATCTAACCTGTTTATTATTATACATTTTTTTAATTATTTCCCTACAAGCAAGGTAAAAAAAGTCACTAAGATTCAAGTAGTTACTGAATGTTAGAGAATATGAGAAAAATACAATTAAGGAGAAAGGACAATAAAAGAACAAGTATTAAGAAGACAGACGATAACGATTAACATTGCATTTAAATTTTTGAAGATCAAAGGCAATAAAGCCACTAGGATGCAAGGAGTTACTGAATGTTAGAGAATATGAGAAAAACTACTATTAAGGAGAGAGGACAATTAAAGGACAAGAATTAAGAAGACGGAAGATAACGATTAACATTGCATTTAAATGTTTGAAGATCAAAGGCAATAAAGCCACTAGGATGCAAGGGGTTACTGAGTGTTAGAGAATATGAGAAAAACTACTATTAAGGAGAGAGGACAATAAAAGAATAAGAATTAAGACGGAAGATAACGATTGACATTGCATTTGCACTTTTGAATATCAAAGATTACTAGGAAGCAAGAAGATGGACCAGAATTCCACAAACAAGAAGTGCGAGAGAAGAAACTTTTAGCATAGAACTTGCGGTTACTTCTAGCCATCTCAATTGTAAAATGATGAGATCTCAGAGTAAATCTAGTAATGCGCTTAAATTCAGTTTCGGTACCATAGAAGAAGTAATATTTATTTTGCAAATACAAAAAAGTAGCACAATGGTGAAAGCTGGTCTTCAGTCTGTCTTATTTTAAACTTATCTAGCCATAATTATTGATCCAAACATTCCACATTACACCAAAACAACACATTCTCATTTACCATTCTTACTACAGCCACCATGATACCTCAGAGTCTCTATGAAGTCCTAACTAGTTTCCATCAGTACTATTTGTCTGTCGGGGAGTGGGGAATAAAAATAACAAAATTTGAAAATGAAACCCCAATGAATATTTACAATGATTACAATTTATATAGAATAAACTAAAATATAGTACCATAGGGGAAAATTCATTAGACCAATTACTATAAAAGTAGAAAAAAAAAAAAAAAACAACGGAAAATTACGTTACGGTGGTGAGAAAGAGACTGGAGCTTAAATGCCAGATCAGGACCAATAGCATTGCACACTCTTCTTTGGATTTTATCAAGAATCTCTAAATATATAGCAGGAGCACGAGAGCATATGTGGCAGTGGTATTCAAACCATGGATGAATGGTAGACTTATAAATATGGAAGATAGATTATGGACACAAAAATTGTCTAGCACATCATAGTGAACCAACTTTCTTAGCTGCAGACTTAGCAATGGATTCAATATACTCTTTCCAAAACCGCGCGTCATCTGCGTGGAATGGTTTCCCGGAAAAAATGTCGTTTGGATAATAATCTGAAGGAGCCTTTTGCGGGACTCACCACTTTTGTTGAGAGGCGTAAACGATTTTCTTAAAAAAAAAAAAAAACATTTAATGACTTCTGGTACATTTGTCCTGCAAACAATATTTGGCGGACTCGAGTGAGCCTGGACAAATATAAGAACAAAAGAACATGAAATTTAAACTATTACTAAATATATTAAAGGAAGTTCTTCTTCTTCTTCTTCTTCTTCTTCTTCTTCTCCTCCTCCTCCTCCTTCTTCTTTTTCTACTCTTTCTCCTCCTCCTCCTCCGCCTTCTTTTCCTCCTCCTCATTCTTCTTATTCTTCTTTTGTACTCTTCCTCCTCCTCCTTCTTCTTTTGTACTCTTCCTCCTCCTCTCCTCCTCCTTCTTCTTTTCTACTCTTCCTCCTCCTCCTCCTCTTCTACTCTTCCCCCCTCCTTCTTTTCTACTCTTCCTCCACCCCCTCCTCCTTCTTTTTCTATGTGCCGAGTCCCTTTAAGACGTTGGCGATCATGGCTCTCTAAAATGTCCTGTCCAATTTTAATTTTGAAGGCAAAGGTCAATTCTAATTCTGTAAAGGAAATAAAAGAATCTTACTTATTATAAAACGCAGATTGTGCGTGTTTGTGTGTGTGTGTGTGTGTGTGTGTGTGTTCGCTTATATATGGGATCGGATTTCCTACATTTTTCAACCGATTTCAACAAAACTTCACAGGACTACGTAAAATTACCTTGCGGTGGTTCTGACAGCGCCAAAAATAGGAAAAACACAATTGTTTTTGCACGAAATCAATTTGAAAACACGATTAAGTCGCCAGAATGAAAGGGGGACAACTCATATCGAGTTATACTTATTAATATCGAGTTATCGAGTTATACTTATTATAAAACCCAGGTTGGTTGTTTCTCTGTGTGTGTGTGTGTGTGTGTGTGTGTGTGTGTGTGTGTGTGTGTTTCGTTTATATATGGGATCGGATTTCCTACATTTTTCAACCGTTTTCAACAAAACTTCACAGGACTACGTAAAATTACCTTGCGGTAGTTCTGACAGCGCCAAAAATAGGAAAAACACAATTGTTTTTGCATGAAATCAATTTGAAAACACGGTTAAGAGGTATCGCGGGAATGAAAGTGGGACAACTCATATCGAGTTATACTTAAAACCCAGGTTGTTTGTGTGTTTGTTCGTTTATATATGGGATCGGATTTCGTACATTTTTCAACCGATTTCAACAAAACTTCACTTTTTTTGGCAGGTAGTGTTTCTTATTGTCTTGCACACTTTTATCTTTATTTTTTCATTCACAATGCTTTAAAAATTCCATTTACAAGACAATTGTTTATAATAAAATTCTATTCAATCAGTAGACTCATAACGATTGAAAACAATGTTTTTGTTTGAGTTTGGGTTTGACCAATTCGTAAAAAAAAGAAAAAAAAAAAACTAATTAAGACATGCGTGTCCGTCAACCTTAAACAATAATCTTTGTCAATTTTATTTTTCAGTCTTTATGATGGTTGATGCTTGATCTATCTCTTACTGTTACATCCCCGGGCAACGCCGGGCTCTACTGCTAGTAATTACTAAATAGTTATAGCAAAGTTATTACTAAACTTTGACAGTTTAAATTAAACCTGTTTCTCATACGGAATCTACTATTTATTAAAATAGATAACTATGAGCAGACATAGATCATTATAATTCTACTTCTTTGTGTTATTCTTCTTTTATGTGCCGTGTCCCTTCAACACGTGGTTGATAATGGCTCTCCACAACTTCATATCTCTTGTTGCTCTTAATAACGTTTGTCTTTTTTGCCATCTCCCTAGCCCTCTTTCTGCCATCCATTCACACAAGCTCATCAGTTAGACGATTGCTGTCACCCCTTCACCCTTTTGATTTCGACATGACCTGAGAGTATCAAATTCTAAAACATCATTCCTCATTATATACCATTATAATTACATGTTCATCACTGGACTTCTATGTATAAAATCAATCAGTAATAATGGCCAGTGATAGAATATTTAGTTGGATTCATTCTTGAGCTTCAACACGTCCACCGTCATTACCAGTGCAAACTGTGGGGTCATTCTGAAGTTTAACATTTTGCCGTTGATTTTCGATATCTTAACTGTCCTGATCTAAATAGAAAGGTTTATTGAATAAACGTAGCCTCTAGAGATCTCTACAAAAAAGACATATCGGTTCACATCTGACAAGTTTGTTAGTCAAAAGATCGAGTCAAATCTATCACTCCTTTTAGGAAAATTTCAGTTGAGTCACTGATTTTGCGGACCAAATTCTAAAATTTGCTCTGACTGTCTCTTATCAACTGTAATTTTGTGAATTTAGAATTCAGTTAATTTTATAGCAAGTCACAGCATACTTTTCTTTCTATTGAAGATGTGGGTCAAAATGATGAAACCATGGTTCAATTTTGAAGCCATGGATCAATTCTGATGTATTGACGGATCAATTCAAATGAACTTCTTGGTTAATTCTGATAAAGTCGTCGACCAATTAAAATGAAGTCCTGTGCTAATTTTGATGAAGCCACGGATCAATTCAGATGAAGACGAGTGACAAGCAAAGAAATATTTTCCGGTGTTTTTTTTTTCTACTTTTATAGTAATAATAATAATAATAATAATAATAATAATAATAATTTCAACAGAATGATAATAAAAAAAAGTGTTATCAATTATATGACAATTCTCCTGCAGGGCCTAAATATCATACTTTTGACTCTACTCTACAGGATACAGAGCAGGAAACATAACACACACACACACACACACACACACACACACACACACACACACACACACAAATAATAATAATAATAATAATAACATGGATGACGTGAAAGAAGCTAAAGTTATTCTAAATGCAAAAAAGCAAACATTTCCTAGAATTTTTGAAGCCAACTATAGCAGCATTCTACCGTATACAGGAAACTCAAACCGAAACTAAAATTCGTTGGCCGCAGTGGAACGAGGAGCTTTTGAAATACAAGGTTGGCCAGAAAGTCCTGACTCAGGAGGCAGGAAAAAAAAAACAAATCTTGATCTCTGTCTGGTGAAGTTTCCAAGGAGTACTGCATTTCGAGCTTGTTCCACACGGTCGCGCTATCAACACTAAACTGTATTGCCAAGGAGAAGTTTAAACAGATGAACAGTGTTGTGATTCTTCCACATCCACCGTTCGGTCTCGATGTTGCTCCAACTTAGTCTTAGTGACTTTACTGCCTTGCATGGGGTGATATCGATTAAAACAAAAAGAAAAAAATTCTGCTGTGTTATCCATAGCAACTTACTCACCAATCAGATTAGCAAACGAGTCTCTTAACTTAGTAACGAAATATTATACTGTAATGATAACATGAAGTGTGTCCGTTTCGAATGGAATGTTATTATTTTATTTTACTTATAATTTTCATTATTATTATTATGCTATATTTTATTTTTATTTATAATAATAATAATAATAATAATATGCCTACAAAAGAAAACAACAGATCTTGATCTCTGTTTGGTGAAGTTTTCAAGGAGAACTGCATTTCGAGCTTGTTCCACACAGTCACGCTATTAACGCTAAACTATATTGCCAACACCTAGACCACGTGTACAACAAACTAAAGAAGGAGTATCCTGCTTTGGACAATCGAGCTTGGGCTTTGTTTCATCAAGACAATGAGAAGCCACACACTGCCAGGTTGACCAAGGAGAAGTTTAAACAGATGAACAGTGTTGAGATCCTTCCACATCCACCATTCAGTCTCGATACTGCTCCGAGTGACTACGGCCTATTCCGCTCAATGACACACTTCCTCCGCGACCAGTAAGAACAAGCTTGTTTGTAGAGTTTTGCTTCAAAGCTAGCCGACTGGTATCTGGGACAGATTTGGTTGCTAGCTGATCGCTGGTAGAAGACTGACGGGGATGATGGACTTTATTTGAAGAATAAATTTTGGTGTTGCTCCATAAAATTTTGTTGTTTTCTTTCCGCTTCTTAAGTGAGACAAGACTTTCTGGCCACCATAATAGGTTTCCAGTTCTGGACCATGGTAGCAGCATGAGTAGACCTGTAGTATAGAACACCATGAGTGAGGAGGGGTGTTAAAAATTCTCGCCCCGAAACATTTCTGAACACAAAATCAGTATTCTGTTTTCTGGTTATTAAGAAAACTCATTTTGGAAAGTGGGTCGGAACAAGTCCTTTTCAGGGTTTTCATATGTGGTTAATCGATTTGGAAACAGAACTTCCTTTCTCAGTTACAAACCTAACATTCTGTTGAAACTTGACTAATGCATGGAATAATAATGCAACACAAAATGTACTTAGAACAAAATGTATTGAAACAAGAAAGTGTACACAATATTTACATATAGTCTTTTGTATATTCCTGGTAAGACCGTTCCTGGAGAATGTGCGCACTGAGTCGCAGTCGGGCAGAGTCTCTGGTTGAATCTCTTGATTCCTCCCTCTCTTCCCGGTACCAACCATATTGATATGGTTGGTATTCCACTATGCAAATTAGGTGGATCCTACCACAACACATTCCAATATCGGTATTTCACTTTTGTCTCAAGATTGAAAATAACTGTCAACTTGATTTTAATGAAATTTGACCTTAACGATTTCGACAAATTTGACTTAAATAATCTGGCCAATTTAACTGATTTTTCGTTAACAGGTTTGAACTTGGCCTGATGATTTTCAGAGAACAGAAACTGGAAACGAAGATACTAGTTAAAATTTATCCTGGGGTAGCTCCTGTTAATGTCACGCTTGTAAAAGGTAAGAATTACTTCATACTGCTGAAACGATGTCACACCAGTACAACCCGTCTCTTCTTATGAGATGAATACCAACAAATAACAATGAAAAAATGTCAAGAAAAACTGACGAAACTGCAGAAATCTAGTATATCACTAATCTGGATGAATGATTATATAAACAGCATGAACCCACTTCTCCATTTTTTTTAATTTAATATTCTTTAGATAATAAAGATTATTATTTAATTCAATAAATCTTTTTGAATTTTGATTCAAAGATTTCACGGTTTTACACTATTTACATTATTCGGACTATTGTCCTCATCTTTGACGCCATGTTTATCACAACGTTTCGGTTGTTGTACGCTCCGGCCTTCTTCAAGTGGTTGGAATGTCGAACTGAACCCTTTATTTCGCTCACTGGGGTAGACTGTTCTAGTTCCACGTGTCATGTCTAATGGATGTCAGTTATTTCCTGTTAATTCCCCTCTGAAAGTTCTCCACCGCCTTAACCAGATATTGAACTCACACTCTTTGGGCCCTGTCATTGGATCTAACTAACACCTTTATCCACTGTGCCATGTGTCGACAAAGATGAGGAAATAGTCCAAATAATGTAAATAATGTACATAATACCTCATCTCAGAAATATAGACACATTCACGGTTTTAGTTTTCAGTTACGTTGTCATTTTCCCGGCATTTTGTGCTATTATTTAATCGACCAAATTCAACAAAAATTAGACCAAATTCGTGAAGTGTCAGGCTAAATCGAGAATTGACAGGTCAATTTCCTGTACCGTCAGACGAAAATTGCGAAACAACGGACTAAATGAAGAAGTGTCAGGTTAATTTCCTGAAGTGTAAGACAAAATTCGTAAAGGACTAGAATAAATCGAGAAGTGTCAGATCAATTTTCCGTGGCTTCAGACGAAATTCTCCTAAGCGCCATACTACTACTACATCGAGAAGTGTCAGGCCAATTTCCTGTGACTTCAGACGAAATACTCCTAAGCGTCATACTACGTCGAGAAGTGTCAGGCCAATGTCCCGTGAATCTTGAGGAAAGTCTCCTAAGCGTCATGCTACGTGGAGAACTGACAGGTTAATTTCCCGTGACTTCAGACGAAATTCTCCTAAACATCATACTACGTCGAGAAGTGTCAGGCCAATTTCCCGTGGAGTCAGACAAAATTCTCCTAAGCGCCAAACTCTGTCGAGAAGTGTCAGGCCAATTTCCTGTCACTACAGACGAAATTCTCCTAAGCGTCATACTACGTCGAGAAGTGTCAGTTCAATTTCCCGTGAATTTAGACGAAATTCTCCTAAGCGCCACACTACGTCGAGAAGTGTCAGGCCAATTTCCCGTGACTTCAGACGATATTCTCCTAAGCGTCATACTACGTCGAGAAGTGTCAGGTCAATTTCCCGTGAATCCTGAGGAAATTCTCCTAAGCGTCATACTAGGTCGAGAAGAGACAGGCCAATTTCCCGTGACGTCAGACGAAATTCTCCTAAGCGACATACGACGTCGAAAAGTGTCAGGCCAATTTCCCGTGATTTCAGAGGAAATTCTCCTAAGCGTCATACTACGTCGAGAAGTGTCAGGTCAATTTCCCGTGAATCCTGAGGAAATTCTCCTAAGCGTCATACTAGGTCGAGAAGAGACAGGCCAATTTCCCGTGACGTCAGACGAAATTCTCCTAAGCGACACACGACGTCGAAAAGTGTCAGGCCAATTTCCCTGATTTCAGAGGAAATTCTCCTAAGCACCATACTACATCGAGAAGTGCCAGGCCAATTTCACGTGGCGTCAGACGAAATTCTCCTAAGCGTCATACTACGTGGAGAAGTGTCAGGCCAATTTCTCGTGACTTCAGACGAAATTCTCCTCAGCGTTATACTACGTGGAGAAGTGTCAGGTTAATTTCCTGTGACTTCAAACGAAATTCTCCTAAGCGCCATACTACGTCGAGAAGTGTCAGGCCAATTTCCCGAAGTGTCTGACCAATTTTAAGAAATTTTAAATGCACTTTCAAATCAAGTGAAAAAAATTAATGATAGAAATATTTTATTTTATTTTAACATATTTCTGATATACAAATCTCGTTGATGTTTTCACAGACATTTATTTTTAAATATTTTTTTGAAACTGTTAAAATTTTTTTAATTCACCACAATGTTTTTCAATGATTATGATTGGTTTTCTCCGATTATTCTTCAGTTGTTTTGAAAACAAAAAAATAATATGAAATTGAAAATTGTTAAAACAGAATTCTCAAAAGAATGCTTCGTCTTTGGCCAATAAAGATTATTATTATTATCATTATTTTATTTCCTTTGATTTCTGGTGTTTACACATTTCTTTCCCGGTTTCGTCCAGAGACCTAAGGTTAGAAATGGCATCCACTGACAAAAAAAAAAAAAAAAAAAAAATTACATAAATAAAGCCCTTCGTAAGGTGTGGTCTGTACTCGTGAGAACTTCTTTTTTTTGTATTTCTTTAAGGCATGGGCTTCCAGGAATCCTTTCAATTAATCTACTGGAATCTTTTCCAATCAATCCGAGGGCTCCAAATACAACAGGGATTGTTGATGTTCCCATGAGCCACATTTTTGAGATTTCGATTTCAACGTCCTTGTATTTTGATAGCTTTTTGAAGATCTTCAAAGATACATTGCAGTCTGCAGGGACTGCCATATCAATAAGGAGGCACTTGTGTTGTTTGCGGTCTATAATAACAATGTCTGGGTGGTTAACTTTGATTGTTCTGTCTGTGTGTATTGTGTAGTCCCATAAAATTGTAACAGGTCCTATCTCCGTAACCGCGTCTGGGTGGTGTTCATACCAATTTCTTCTTCTTCTTCTTCTTCTTCTTCTTCTTCTTATTATTATTATTATTATTATTATTATTATTATTATTATTATTATTATTATAAAATATGATTATATATTATTATGATTATATATATTATTACATATTATGATATATTATATATATTATATATGATATATAGTTATATAATTATATGATATTATAATATATTATTATATATTATATTATATATATATATATATTATATGATATAATGAATATCATGATTGTATATTACTATTATTATTATTATTATAATTATTATTTCATATTAATATTTTTTTTTAAATTTAATAAACTGAAACTGTCTAGTGTTAAAACGGAATTCTCAAAACAGTGCTTCGTCTTTGGTCAATAAGGATTATTATTATTTAGTTCAATAAATCTTTCTGGTGTATGCTTCAAACGTTTTAGGATTTTAATTTTCTGTTCAGGATCACGAGACCCATATCTGATTAGGGTCGAAGGGGCGCCACATGTACTACAGCCGCAGTAATCGTGTTTCCTTACAGAGACCAGCCCTCTGCCGGCTGGTTTGAATTCAACATTTACCTTCTTCAAGACTAATCATGAACCAAAGCTATAGGAACAAGTCTTTCCTGCTATTTACCCATAGCTGGGGGGGGGAGAAAATGGATTCGCACCTTTCCGTAAATGAATGGAATGAATTCAGCTTTCAGATTCGTCAATCCAAGCCACTATACATTACTCCACCGTACTAAAATAATAACTTAACTAAAATTTACCTAATCTTTTTAGTTATGTTGTCATTTTCACATCATTTTACATTATTATTCAAGAGGTAACACTACACCAAATCGACTATATTCAGCAACTCTCATATAGAATTCGAGACGACCCAGGCTAAGTTATAGCGATTTAAGCCTCCAATAATATCAATACAGAAAGAACACGGAACACAAATAGAAAGTTAAAAAGGAATATTATTGAAGTTCATATAAACATATAGAAGTAATAGTTCTTGTTGCAAACAAATTGTTCTGTTTGCAGCTATATATTATAATGAAACAATATAAGTCCACTTAACTGAATTCTTTGGTGTTTGTAGAATGGTTTCGTTTACGTACTAATACAGTACGGCTCTCATGTCAAAGTGCAGGTAGAATCAGAGATGATTTTGACGTCCTCTGCTTGGCAGATCTTGACAGAAAAGAAGAGCAAAAAGAATAGAATAGCGTTCTTTATAATTGGCGCCAACATATTCTGGCTAGTGATTGGTTTGCAAAACACAAGACTAAATAAAAAAAGAATGAAGCAAAAAGTCATTTTGTTAAAGAAATTCAAACTCTTCGTGCAAGGATTTTTCAATCTATTTTTTATGAAAAAAAAATGCATCAATTCTTGTCTGTTTTTTTGTCTGGCCCTCGTTTTTTTTCTGCTTCGAAAAGCTGGATTAAACTAGATGGATTTGGAATGGTAGACTCTGGCCTGTTTAACATCAATAATATTATTATTATTCTCATACACATTTTGTTATAAGTCCAACAGACCCAGGTCACTTAGGTGGTTAACCAGGTTTCACGCGCATATTACTTGTTAAACAACGTTAATATAATTTATTGCTTTCCGAATTCAAGGAGAGACGACGCGTCATTTCGAAGCTCCAAGAAATTAACAGATTTCAAGCCTGACTGAAAAACCGTAAATATTGGTCTAAGTGTATCATATTTCTAGTTTGTCTACGTTTAAAGCAGTGGATCTCAACCTTTTTTTACCCATGGACCCCTTTCCCCTTCTTTTTATCTTGGTGGACCCCTTCATAGCTATTGGACATAAGAACAATTTTCTATTCTTCACTAATATAAATTTTAAGGTTTTAATTATCAAAGAAATAGTATACGATTAAGCTTTATTTTTAAATGAAAACTAATTTAATACAAATAAAATATTCTACTATAATTATAATAATAATTATTATTACTATTTTTAATTAACACAACAATTGAGTTTTGCCTGTGGACCCCCGGAAATATTACATGGACCCCTAGGGTCCATGTAGACCCCGGTTGAGAACCACTGGTTTAAAGCAATGAAAATCAAACAACACAAAAATAAAAATGAAATTTATTTGTTCTTTTTTCTCCATATCTCATTCTCTGATGAAGCTTTAATAAAAGTGAAACATGTTAGATTTATAAACGTTTCTTATTTGTTCTTTATTTTATCATTCTTTCGGATTCCGATCTATATTTGATTTGTATTTGATCCCAATTCATAGTCAGTAATTCCAAATAATGTTCTTTTTTTGTTGTTGTTTTTTTTATAAATGAAAACGTTTTCTAATCAACGGCGTTATTGAGCTGTATGCGTATCTGTTGTAGTTTCTGCAGGAATAAATAGGAAACATTACTTTCGGATCGAAAATGCATACCGAGAAATGGTGAATATGTAAAAGGAAACAAAAGAAAAAGAAAAAAAAAATGATCGGTTTTGTAGCTGAAAACCTGTTCTATCCCACACTGTTATTGCGAACCTTCTGCCTATCGTGGTTACCATGGAAACAAATAGGATGCATTAGCTTCGGTGCAAAAAATGCAGAGCTAATTAAATGCTCAATCCAACAGTGTTATTGTACTCCCTGTATCTATTGTAGTTTTACTTTTGTGGAATACACAGAGGCATTATTTTCGGAGCGAACTGAGGTAACCAATGCTTGTAAATAAAGTTAAAAATAATAATAATAATAATAATAATAAAAGTATTGTTTTGTAGCTGAAAATATGCTCTATTCAATGCCATTCCACACCTCCTGCATATGGAGTAGCGTCCGTTAAATTAAACATAAGACATTAGTCTCGAAGCATCCCTCGCGTACTCAGTGTAAACAATAGTCATCGGATTTTGTAGCGAAAGTCAATTAAGTCATTATAAAGGTTAATAAGTGTAATGTTTCCTAAAGTGTTTTGCAAGGTTTCATTTTGCATTTTCTACTGTTACATGCATGGGCGTATATAGGCCAATTATTGGGCTTTCTATTAACTGCGAGAGAAAGTCTATAAATATCATCGAATCTTCTTTCATTTAGAAAAAATATTTTGTAAGTAGAGTATTGTGTTTTTTTTAATTGACATCTCACATAGTCGATGATGACGCCATACAAATCATTTTTCTTTATAATCGTCTAATAAAGGTTGTCTTGAACGGCCAATCTTCTAGATTATTTCACATTAATGCGGAAGGTTTCTTATCGTCAATGACCTTTTCGTTGTCATCAGTTCCCAATTTTTGTATATATATATATATATATGATAATATTATTAATACAATTTTATCAAAATCTATATACGAGGAAAAGTAAAAATTATCCGCACTCTTATATAAAATTATGTTATGGCGAATGTGCAAATACTTTTTTACTTATATTCGTATATATTTTAAGCGTTTAGCTTATTTTAAACTTTATTTTATATTCTTACTATATATATATATATATGTGTGTGTGTGTGTGTGTGTGTGAATGCGTGTGTGCAGGTATGCATGTATATGGACGGGTGGCCCGGTGTTCAGAACATTCGCTTTTCGACCACGAGACACTAGTTCGAATATCACTGCTGTCGATTTGTCAAGAAGGTGAACTGGAAGTGGAGGCTGTTATAGCGTGCAGAATCTGAAAACGATAGCCACGGTTTGCTCCAAGACA